TTGTTACTGACACGTGGCTTGCCTTCCTACTATGAATGTAGAATCTTCATACCTACAAACACGATGCCAGTTCCATTATTTGCCTTCTTTTTTTACATCTGCACTCTTTCTGAGATTTTTTTTAAAAAATGTTGCTTTTTAAAAACTGTTGCATTTGTAAGCTTTGCCGGCTTATTGCACAGAAAGTCTATAGTTAATTATAGATTGTGACACGTGGCTTGCCTTCCTACTATGAATGTAGAATCTTCATACCTACAAACACGATGCCAGTTCCATTATTTGCCTTCTTTTTTTACATCTGCACTCTTTCTGAGATTTTTTTTAAAAAATGTTGCTTTTTAAAAACTGTTGCATTTGTAAGCTTTGCCGGCTTATTGCACAGAAAGTCTATAGTTAATTATAGATTGTCAAAGGAGATGAAAGAGACGTTTCAACTGCAGAAAAACACACTATCTGCAATACTGATAAACTGTTATGCCACTTAGAATAAAAAAGAGAAAATATTACTCGCAAATTCGAAGGAATGAAAAAAGATAAACTCCCACTTCAAAAGTTCAGAAATAAATAAACTCCAGACAAAATAGTTATGGGCAAGGACAGAATGTAAGTGGAGTCAGGATAGACTTATGGATGGATCAAAGTGCCTATCAGAGTCTATTTAAAATGATTTAAAGAGAAGTGTAGTCCCCTCCACTGAATCAATCTGGTTTAACTGAGACTGGCTCATGAGGACAGGGACACAAAGAGCACATGACATGAATCAATACAATAATACCCTGAGACGACTCTTAGAATTTTTAGGCAATGTAGTCGCACCCTACGTCTGATCCACACAGGAAGCTGCTCGCATAATTCAAACCACAACTAAATAAACTGTATTCTTGACAGCTTTCATGTTGCTGTTGCAATACATGTGAAGAGCTTTATGTCTCACTACAAAGAATATACTCAATGGAGTTAAATGCCTATTATTTGTGCAATATGAAACAGGAATCTTTCTCTCCAAAACTCCATATGGATGCAATGACAGGATAATACCAAACTTAAGTAATTTTGCCAGTGGCATATGGAGTTCAAGCAAGAGATCTGTATTCCTATTTATCACTCAAGTCATAGTAAAAACCCAGAACCTTCAGTTATGATTTATAAACACATTTAGGATTAACTGTATTTCACCACAAAGCAATTCAGCTGATCTAGAAAAACTGCCAAGTAAACTTTTTAATTCTTTAGTACAATTAATTTTATTTACGCATTTAGTTAGATCAGGTTTACAAAAACCACAGGACAGCTCTTGTAGACCGTGTTTTTGCACATAGCAACTCAGGGAAACAGAATAATTTGGCTTCACAAGGGCAAGACGGAGGTCCTGCAGGTGGGTGTCCCAGACGTCAGTGGTTTGGGAAACTCCCTCTCTTTTGGGGTGTGTGTGACTCTTGCCACCAAGAGGGAGGTTCGCAGTTTGGGTGTACATCTGGACCCAATGCTCACCATGGAGACCCAAGTGTCATCAGTGGTCCATTCCGCACATTTCCACCTTCAGTGGACTGCCCAGTTTATCTTGATGTGGGGGCACTCACCACTTTGGTCCATGCACTTGTACTCCTGAGACTAGACTACTGTAATGCACTCTATGTGGGGCTGCCGTTGAGACTGACAGGGAAACTTCAGATGGTGCACAATGTGGCAACCAGACTTCTTACTGGGGTGAAAAGGTATAAACATATTTCCCCCACTCTGGCTGCCTTGCATTGGCTGCCCATTCATTTCCACGTTGATTTCAAAGTTCTTATGATTACATATAAAGCCCTGAGCTGTTTAGGACCTCAATATCTGACAGATTGCTTTCTCCCACCCAGTTCTGCCAGAGTCACTTGTTCTAGCCAGGCCGGGTGGCTGAGGGGCCTAATGCTGAGGGAGGTCTGAAAGAACGAGGAACTGGGCCTTCTCAGCAGTGGTGCCTTGCCTTTGGAACATATTGCCAGTGGAGATCCGCCTGGCTCCCTCCCTGGGTGTTTTCAGGAACAAACTTAAAACCTGGCTATTTGGGCAGGCTTTCCCTCCTGCCGTATCTTAATTTCTTACACTTTTGCCATCTTGGATTTATAATATATGCATATTGGTTTTATTGTTTTTAAATTTGTAAACCGCCCAGAGTAGACCTTTGGTCAAGATGGGTGGGATAGAAATCTAATAAATAAATAAATAAATAAATAAATAAATAAATAAATAAATAAATAAATAAATAAATAAACAAACAAACAAGATAAATATGTGAAAAAAACCTAGTTGGGACTCTGAGGGGAAAAGTGGTAAAAGAAACATTCTATACTTGATTGCAGAGGCAGAAGACAACAACAACACAAGATAGGTGGGATAAAAATGCAAATAAATATTAAAATAACATAAATAATTATAATTGAAGACAACAGTAGACAGCACTTCCTTTTGCCAAGGCCAACACTACTTGGGAGAAGCTGCACTAGCTCAGCAGCAAACAACATGATTTGTACACTACAGAGATTCCACAGCGCCTGCACCTAATGTGTGTGAGAAACTCTTGAAAGCCAATCTCGATCAGAATAAACTGGTGTGTGTGTGTATAACTGTGGCTCTTCTGATAGTAAACTAAAACTCCATTATTCCTCACCACTTTGCCCAAACCTTTGGCACTAGTTTCTACAGACCAAAAGGAATATGCAGTCTTTGAGGATTTGTTACAAACATGAAAATCTTCAATGCAATCTGTAACATAAACCATAACATAAAATAGATTGCTAAGTCAAATTGTGCACTGGTACAAACTGATTTACAGCAACTGGGGAAATAAAGAATTCACAAATCAATACACGTTAGCAAAAGATGGGTTTCTGTGTGGAATTGTATCAGATTTGATGTTTCTTCTCTGTTTTTTCATGTTGTTCCAACTCAAACCAAAGAAATGAACATGTGAGTACCAAAATATTTGCAACTGCAACAGTTTTCTGAGAGAAGGGTTGAACTTTCAGACAGAATTGCAATGGTGCCAATAATTTTGGCCATGACTGTAGGTGACCGAAATTCTGCTAACCAACTCCATGGATTGAGCTGGTATATGTTAAAGCTACAAGTAATGTCAAAATCAAATCAAATTTTGATTGCTTTGTAGCCCAATCACTTTATATGCAAGAACATAGATTAACGTCATCATAAATAACAGCCATAAGAATTCTGGCACTGAGGTTAAGTGTTTTAACTTCCATCTCTCTGAAGATGTCTTCTTTCCCTGATACAATCTGTATCATGTCAAGAAACATGTAGAGCTTATTTGTTCAGAGTACGTTAAGCGAAAATCACCCATAGGGAAAATCGTTAAGTGAAGCACAAGATCGCTCCGAAAAAGCCATCGTTAAGTGAATTTTTTGTTGTACGAAGCAATCATTAAGCGAGGCACCACTGTATGTAAATTATATTAGGCACCTTGCAGCTATTCTATGGACTAACACAGATATTATGACTGGACAGCAAATATGCACAATTAAGTGGCACAACAGACAGGTCATAGAATGCTACATTTTTATCATGCCATTTCTGTGCACCTGAGTGAAATATAATCTATCCAATCAAGGAGATCCAACATAATTCAGATGCAAATAAAACTTTATCCCAAGGATGTGAAAGCAATGATAGTTGTTATCCAAGCAGGAAAGATAACCTACCTGTCTGAATTAAGAGATGTACTTTTTGTTTGTAGCCTTCTTTTTTCTCTTTTGTTTGCTTCTGGAGCAAATCCAGTATGCCGCCCTGGATTAGCAAACTTCAAAGCTTTAGCTGTACGCCCCTGGACAACAGACAATTTTATTTGAACAAGCAATAACAAGCTTAATGCACAAGTTGCTGCTAATCAAGTTAGGGTGTTGGCAGATTCCAGGTAGATGAAACATACAAAACTAAAGTTAGGTTCTTTAGCTTTATATTCCCATTAGGTGAATTTCATTCAAATGCTGAGCACAAGTATGTGGGTAATATGGTCAAATTTGAGGCTTTCCTGTTCTGTGTCTACATGAAGAAAGTTACCTATTATGAGATGCATCTGATCAAGGGAGACTATTGTAGTGCTCAGTGGAAACAACAAATGATTGCCATATATTGTGGCACAAAACTACAACTCTTTCTCTCCTACACCACTCATCTTTTGGTTATTCTTGTAGGTCACTCATAAGCTAAAGAAATAGAAGTAGTGGCTAGAAAAGCCCAAAGAAAGCAAATATGGTTTCTTGTGGAGCAGATGATAAACTGGACTTGAGTATATCCTCAGTATTGTTACTTAATGGGAAAATAAATAATGAACTTCTACTTTGTGAAGTAAACAGGGTTCTTCTTCAGTTTTATCTCCTTTTTCAAAATGAATCTGTAGTATTTTCATACTTAAGACTATGAAAAAGTAACACTGTAAAGCTAGAGAATAGTTTCTGATGTCCATCTTGCACCATAATGCTCTTTATTACCTCAAAGAGATATTCTCCATATCCATCTGATCCTGAAGGACCAAAGAGTGTACCATTCCAGAATGCAAATGATAGATTTTATTCTTCAATACTTCAATTTATGACACATATTCTGCAAGTAGTACACCAGCACAAAAGAGAGTAACTGGGCTAGAACCCTTATCTTGATGTGCTATACATTTTTTTAAATTGCTGTGAGCCTTTTACCTATGGGACAATGTGTTCAAGCACTTGCAGTCTGAAGTAGTACAATCATATTATCCACTCAAAAACCTCACACCTTGCTTGTTTGAGTGTGCAGTCTAGGTTTCATGGTTGTCAAAAAACCTACTGTAATCTCACCTTGTCTGTACTGCTGTGAATTTACCCCCTCCTTCCTGATCTGTGAAAGAATTCCATTGACCATATCTCTTTAATAAGCTCAGACATGCATAGGCTTTCTGTACATGCATACAGCATGTGAATGTCTTCAGTAGACTGAAGTTTTTTAGTTTGGCTGAATCAAGAAACTGCAGCTAACAGTTTTTTTTTTAAACAAATCAGAATATTGATATGGAAAGCTGGTTTAATATTCTGGCTTGTTCCAAACCTGTTAACAATCTCCAGTTCTGGAAAAATAAAAAAAATCCAACTAAATGAAGAGTTCATGGTCTGTTCATTCATTTGTGTAAACAGGTGGTACACACGGGCTTGTGCATATCTTGTTTTTTTTTTACATTAAACCATGACTCTTTGAATGCGATTACAATCATTCTAGTCTCATGTTCACATTGACTTATTTATTCTTTCTTAGGGATGACTACATATATAGCCGATCACACGAGAGTATACAGCTGGGTATGTTACTACTCCATTGACAGGTGCTGAATGCCAGATGACTTCAGATCATATGAAATATCCATTTTATTGTGTTTTGTGATGGGTATCCCACATGTACATCATTCTTCATATTTCTCTTAAGACTTAAAGTGATGACACATGTGAGAACTGTAAAACACCTAGTAAACCATTAGTATTGATTTGCAAAAAAAAAAAAAAAAAAAAGTAAACATAATAGTGGTGTGCTACCTTTTGTGGAGTTGAATCCTTAGGCACATTTACTCAAAAGTCAGCACCACTTTTTTCTATGGTGCCTACCTTCAAGTAAGTATGCACAGGAATGCTGCTTTAGTCCAATATTTATATAGATGAAAAAATAGTCCCATATACATACGTCCGAATCAAGTCTCCGTCGTTGACAGTCTTCAGAATCAACCTCTGTTTTTCCATTTATTATCTGTGTACATTTTGGACAAAGCTTCCAGCCAGGTATAAACTGCCGTCCAAACTTGGCACTTAGAAAAGTTGCATCGTCTATGTCAATTGCATGCAAGTTTTTCCTTGTAATTTTTTTGTGCACATTAAAAGGATCACAACATGACTTTTGCAAGTCTTCATATCTATCAAGGTAAACTTTAGCATGATGGAAGCATATTGTATGGTTGTCTGAAAGAGTTATCCCAGTCCTAAGCTGAACGAGTAAAAGATCAGTTGATGACAATTCTTGCTTAGTCTTGAAGCCAGTTTGAGAGGTAAAGTATGTTTTATGACAATCACTGCTAGCTTGCAGCTGATTTCCAACTGAACACGGATCCATTTTACGTGACCAGTAAAATCTATTTCCTAGTGTACATTGTGTCTTTGTCGTCTTTAGCAGGTGCTACGAGGATTATCCTGGAGAAAGCAGTGAAGGAAGTGAGATTTATACTGCATATCTTTATGTTCAACTAGACTTAACCAAAGCCAACCCTAACATTAATGCTGAAGAAGTATGATCTCTATGTTGATTATTTTTTCAGGAGGTGCAACTAAATTATATAGAGCTTTTAAAAAAAACAAACTTTTGTTTCATCTTATGATTTATATGGAGTCATGTGATGTGAATTTGGGACTTAATCTTAGATTAATCTTAGTTTGGATGTCAGTTGAAGTTTTAGTTCCTAGACATACCATATTTTGGTAGTTAGATTCTTGTACTTTCTACCAAAATATGGTATGTCTAGGAACTAAAACTTCAACTGACATCCAAACTGTAGCAGCCCAGCAGTTTCCACTGAATTCTAGGCATGGAAGTTCTTAAATGGTACACCAATTGCATCTTAAAATATTTCATAGATTCAAGAAGTGCTAGAGATTGGTAGAAACCAGTATTAGTCTCAAGAAGTTGATATGAAGGAAGTATTAACTTTGGGGCATAATGCTTTAACAAGCAAAGTGGCACAAAGTTCTGATATTCTTTTGAGCTTCAGGATGCTCACTGGTAAGTAAGTCAAACCAAAAATGGTTATTTGTGTGAGAATTAAGAATCCAGAGCTTCCTCTCTAACAAGACAATCATTATTGTTTGACACACAGGATGACAAACTGTTAAGAAGTTCAAATTAATTCGATTGCATTAAAAGTAATATTATATTTAAGGGGGAAAAAGCTGGCAACAAACTTGATGGAAAATCATCGTATCTTTGCAGTTAAAATGTAGAACATTATATTAATTTGAAATTCATACTGGTAGCAGTATTCAACTAAACGTCTTAATGGAAAAATTTCAAGAGCCATTTCCCATTATATTCCTGCTCATGATTCAGCAGAACATGGAAACATAATACTGAATCTGAATATGCTAGTGAGACAAGCAACTGGTAATCCTACACATTAGAGATTGCTCTTCAGACTACTTTCATCATCCTCAATGGGATAGTGCAAAGAAACTTTAAGAATATCTGGATTAACATTTTCAAGTACAAAATGTTAGGATCAAGCTGGAGCACAAGCCAGTAGTTGCAGGGGTGATAGAAGCAAAGCCAACACGCAGAAGCTGTTTAAACCACAAACCACAGAAACAGATCCTTAGTACAGTTTATATTTCATTTGTATCATGCTTGTTTTCTTCCAAGATTTATTTTGGTATCTAAGTGACACATCATACGACATGTCTGTCCTTTATGATGTTTTAATTTTTTTCATTTATATCATGCTTGTTTTCTTCCAAGATTTATTTTGGTATCTAAGTGACACATCATACGACATGTCTGTCCTTTATGATGTTTTAATTTTTTATTTCTCATGCAGATCTACAGTATATCTTGTATTCTAAGTTTTGATCCAAACTTTATAGCAGTTTGTCACAATGAACACAGGTTCCAACCATTTTTCCAGCTCAAAACTTTTTTTAAAAGTCACATTTCTACCAAAATGTACCAAAAATTCGAATACAAGTAATCAAGACATGGGGAAAATTGTTGCTCATGTCATTCACAATAGTTTGCAACACTTAATATTACAGCATATAAAGCTTCAATTTTGCTCAGTGTCAATAAAATATTTAAGTGAGGTATGAATGGGTAAACTTCAGTAAGAAGATTAAATGCCAATGATATAGCACTAATTTAATGTGGGTATGGAACACAGAAGAAAAGCTGTGGATACCCACAAAATAATCACTAAAACATGGCAGGTGCTTTTGAAAGAAACAAGTGCCGGCGTTTACAGAAAGATTAAAAGAAGGGGAAGCGACGACATTGGCAGCACAATGGCATGGAAACAAGATGGAAGAGAAGAAGAAGAAACAACTAGTTTAGGCTTGTATTTTCCATTCCAACAAGCATATATTGCTCTGATGTATCTCCGTTTGCATCTGTAATTGACAAATTCTTCTGTGTTTGATATTGCCAGTATTCTTTAATGTGACAGCATGTGCCCTGCATCTATCTACACCACAGGTCCATCTTTTGTGGAAAAGCTGCAGAATTACTTGGCCAAAATTTGAAGATACAACTGCCTTGCACTGTCTACTAAATGTGCTCTTTTACCTCATTGTATATGGATATTTCTAGCAATCATATACATGCTGACATACTAAAGCATTAGGGGAATCTTGTCAGATAGACAAATGCTGTTTGGCAGGTGTCTGCTTTCCTGGAATTAGTAGCCACTGCTAGAAAAGTAACCAATCAATCAATCAATTATATCATCCTTTTACACTGCACTCCAGAAAAATTCCCTGCAATCCCCTTTACAGCATTTGTTTATCTGTCTGATGTGTTTGATTGTAGGGCTGCACTCAAGTTTCAGCTCTGTAATGAAGACAATGGACATTGCAAATAGTATGGCAATCCAGACCTTAAACCATTGGTTCCTAACCTCGGGTAACCCAGGTATTCCTGGACTGCACTTCCCTGAATCCTTTGCCAACAGCTGTGCTGGCTGGGGTTTCTGCGAGTTATTGTCCAATGACACCTGGGTTACTTAAGGCTGGGAACCAGTGCCTTACAAAATAACACTACACTGAGCATAAGATTCCCCTATTCTCTCCTTCTGGATAGGCTTCCCTTGAAGTGTTACTCTATTGCTGATCTCTTGTAAGTTCATGAAGGCCAGTGGGAAAGGAACCTCCTGATAAGACCTTCTCATAACATCAGAAGCCTTCAGAAAGCCTTTTGGGAAACAGCCTAAAAAGACCTATGTATTGGTATTTAACAACTACTTAGGGCTAGCTGTGGAATAAATGAAGAAGGTGGACTTAACTAGTTTTGAGGATAATCCTAACCCAGTTTATAGGCAAAGAAGGTTCCCAGCCCCTTACAGAGAAATGAACAACTTTTTTGCCCCAAGGCCCACATACAGCGAGGAGTGGTAGCTCAGGGGCTGCTATGTACTCTTCTACACAAGGGAATGGAAAGGCTGATACTCTGCTTCTTGCCTGCTATTGTAGTGTGGTGGATAAGGGTGTTGGAAAGTCACCCTGAGGGTTCAAGTAGCCTGCTGAGAGCTGCAGCTAATCCAACTGTATATGGCTGTACAGTGGTAATTAGGCATCCCATACCCCACAAAATGTTATTACTGGTGTTATCACAGAATTGTGATGAATATGGAGATACATACACAATTGCTGTATCTTTCTCTCATTCATTATCTCTAAAAGAAAAGTTCAGTGACTGTCAGTACAACAAGTACCAACAGCCGCTAAAACGTAGAGCGTAGTACCAACATTTACAGTGAAACAAAGCTTTGTAGGAAACTTTAGTTCCCTCACTGAGGGGACTAAACACCTTCTGTAGCGCCTGAATCCTGAATGCCTGTGGGGGTGGGAATGGAAAACCAAAAGGAGGTGGGGCAAATCACCTCGATCAGACTGCAGCAGCTAGAGTTTGCTCACAATTACATGTAGGAAGTGTGCAATTCCTACCTGCATTTTTAAGGACTGCACACACACAAACCCAGATAAACAGCTACTGTTTTTGCATATTTAATCAATTCATGACTGCCATACCAACAATTCATGTACCTGTATTTCTCCAAAGTCAGTCACATTTCAGAAAGACTGTTTTGTAAAACCTGATTTACTGAAGACAAAAAAGAGAAAAGAAAGAAAAAGAAAGCAAAAGCACAGAGAAAGTGAAAATATTTACTGCCACAATGATGGCCACACAATACCAAATCTCTGAAAAAACGGTCTCCCAGTTTTCCAGAACTGCTGGATAGTTCAGTGGTTTGGGCATCTGGCTGTGGAGCCAGAAGTCGGGAGTTCAATCCCCCACTGTGCCTCCTTGATGGGCTGGACTCGATAACCCTACAGGGTCCCTTCCTGTCCCGGCAGTTCTAACGGAGGTTAAAAGGAACACCAGGGCCCTTTTTTTAAAAAAAAGCATAATTATAAACACAATTATACTTAGACTATTGCTTATTTTAAGCGTTACCTACATATGCATTCTTGCTTTTTAAAAAAATACTGTGGAGAACAAGGAATAGCCTTTTTAGGACATGAACTTTATGGAGTGTAACGGCTACCCGACACTACTGCTTCCACGTTATTTCCTCAAGTGTTGCAGCTTCTAAGCCGCAAGGTCCCACATTTTCTCTCTCGACCCCTCTTCCTCTTTCCCACTCATGGAAAACTGGGAGAGGGGGAAATGTCATTTCCACCAGGCTGCTTAAATAAATAAACTTATTCAGTTAAAAAAAAGCTATTGAGGATTGGAAAACAACAACAACAACTTAATTAAACAGTAATAAAGGAGTTGCTCCCCAGCAGGGACTTGAACCAACAACCTCTGGAACTCGAGCAGGGTGCCCTTCTCCACAGAGCTATTCCTGCTGCTAGCCAACCACCACTAATTTAACTGAGAAGAATGAGCAATATACGATGTAACCCAAGGAGGGAGAGGACGTTTCTCTCCCGTCTGACAAGAGCTGATGCAGCAGCAAAAAGCGAGCAAGGCGGCGCGATCCTCCTTTCGGAAGCCGGAACAGGAAAGAGGGCGAATTGAAGGGGAGTGCTCGCTTCAATAACCAGACTCCCTCACCCAAACTAGTCACATGACCTGGCACAGTCTCGCGCCATCCAGGACGGTGAGGCAAACCCAGCTATGCTGTTCCAGGGCGGCAAACCGTCCGTCCAGCAGCTGAGACCCGTCCACGTTATTTCCTCAGGTGTTGCGGCTTCTAAGCCACAAGGTCTCACATTTTCTCTCTCGACCCCCCCCCTTCCTCTTTCCCACTCACGGAAAACTGGGAGAGGGGGAAATGTCAATTTCCACCGGGGAACGGAACAAAACAAACCTGTCCTGCAACTGGATTGCTCTGCAGTAACGCTACTACAGGAACGCGTAGTTTCCCTTCTCCTCTGATGGAGGAGATGAGAAAGAGAGAGAGAGAGAGAGAGCAAAGCAAAGCCAAGCCAAGCCAAGCCGCTCCCAGAGCCGCCTCTCGCTTTGTCCTACGAACCTCTCCGCCCTTCTACACCAACGCTTACCTTACCGTAGGCTTTCCTTCGGCCAAGTCCTGCTCCCACCCCGGAGCCTGCCTCGCCCGGGGCCGCCATGAAGCTAAACAATCCCTCCCACTCCCAGGAAGGAGACGAGCGGAAGCCTGTCGGAAGAGGAGAGGGACGGAATCGTCTCCCCGCGGGTAGACTTCCGGTTCCTATTTGCGGGCGGAAGCCTGGTTCTTGTGAGGGGCCAGAGTGGGGCGGGGACGCTGGCCTTAATGCAAAACCTCAAACGAATTAAGATGGCGCTAGAACAGTCGTTCCCAACCTTGCGTCCCACCCACCCACCGCCATGTTCTTGGACCACAACTCCCAGAAGCCTTCGCCACCAGCTGGACTGGCCAGGATTTCTGGGTGTTGCAGTCCAAGAACACCTGGGTCGGGTAGGACTGCGCTGGAGGGATTTTGTTCGCGGACTGTAGGGGATTTATAGTTGGCTGTGCTTTTCTTGGTGGGAATAGAGCGTTTTCTCTTTAAAGATGGTGTATAAGGCAAGCATAAATCCAACAGATAGAGCCCCTATGTAATGCGAAGATACACAGATAGGCGCGGATGCTCTTCTCTATTCACTCTTGCGGAAGAAAGCCTAATGTTACAGCTGAAGTATCAAAACACGTCCACTCAAATGTAAACATCACGATGTTCAGTCGTCAGGCCAAAACAAATAATAAATAAAGAAGACAAAACGTTGTTGCAACTTAAAAGCTAACTACTGTATTGTCATTGCAGAATGATTAGCTGAATTAGTCTGTCCTAAGGCCACCACATTTTTGACCTGTTCATTTTGTTTTCACCAATAAACTATATTTTCATGTGAGCGTTCGTGGACAAGTCCGCATCTGCAGACCGAACTTACTCCCAGGAAAGCGCATACATAGAATTACAGCCTTATTTGAGCATTATTATATTTACTCCCAGAGTGAAGGACTAGAATATTTAGGTGCTGAGATAATTTGGTTTGTGTATTGCTGCATCTGGCAAACCATATGAATTGATGCAAACTGTTGTCATGTAGCATACAGAGTGTGGGGGACGAAGAGCACAAAGACCAGGCAGGAAATCCCATTAAGCTGTGAAGCCACCTTGGTTGTTTGGGCCAGCACTACCTCTCAGCCTAAAGTGCTTAACAAAAGCTGTGAGCATAAAATATGGGAGAAGAAACCATGGGTGATGGAAGGAAAAATACTAAGTCTGAATAGGATTGAAATGTTGCTTGAAATTTGAGGCAACACTATACAGATGGAAGAAAGGTGGGGAACTTCCAGAACACTTCCTTTATAACAAACTTTGCTGGAAATTAGAGAGGTTCATTCCCTACAGATCTTCAGAAGGCTATATACAGTATTGTAAAACTGAATTGTTCAGGGAGGCCCTTACGAGCATTTTACATTCAGTTTCTGTGGCATGTTTGTTATATCTCGTATTTTGTATTTATTACTTATTTGTTATATTGGGTTATATTCATTCTCTTAAAGTAAAGGTAAAGGTTCCCCTTGACAATTTTTGTCCAGTCGAGTTCGACTCTAGGGGGCAGTGCTCATCCCCGTTTCCAAGCCACAGAGCCAGCGTTATGTCCGAAGACAATCTTCCGTGGTCACATGGCCAGTGCGACTTAGACACGGAACACTGTTACCTTCTCACCGAGGTGGTCCCTATTTATCTACTTGCATTTGCATGCTTTCGAACCGCTAGGTTGGCGGGAGCTGGGACAAGCGATGGGCGCTCACTCCGTCGCGTGGATTCGATCTTACGACTGCTTGGTCTTCTGACCCTGCAGCACAGGCTTCTGCGGTTTAGCCCGCAGCGCCACCACGTCCCTTTTATTCATTCTCTTAGATTTATTGTAAATTGGTGAGTTATTTTGTTGGGCATCAGCTGAAGGTTGCCATTTTTATATGTTTATTTTTGGGGGGTTAATTTTGATACTTGATTAATGAGAATGTGGGCATTTTGTTGTACATTTAAACAGTCCTGAATAGTGATGCCAATAAGTCAGGTGGTCTATAAGCTTTATATGAGCTATTGTGCTTAGACAGCCTCCCTTCGTTTCCCTTCTGAAAATGAGTATGGGAAGAAAAGTTTGTTTTCAAACATGATACATATTGTGTCTTTCTTGGCTTTTAACTTTCAGTCAAGCCTCCTTTTACATTGCTGCTGTAGACTGCAATGCAAACAGTTCCAAATGCGGCTTGACTGTGAAGCTTGCCAAATCTTAAGAGGCAAGTCAGAACAAAACATGAGAGCAACACAGAACCGCTGGGTGCTCACATCTCTTGGACTCCCGAAAGAGGAAGGAAGCGGAAACGCAGATGTCACATACAGCACTGATGGTACCTGTTCCAAATGCGGCTTGACTGTGAAGCTTGCCAAATCTTAAGAGGCAAGTCAGAACAAAACATGAGAGCAACACAGAACCGCTGGGTGCTCGTATCTCATGGACTCCCGAACGAGGAAGGAAGCGGAAACGCAGAGAGCAAGCTTAATTAAGGAATGATTCATTCATTACACATGCGCAGAGGAGTTTACTTCATTTCTCTGTGTTCTTGCGCCAATCCTTGCCTGTCGGAATTGTTTATGTAAAGCGGCAAGGAATTTCTGCTTGGTTTGGGGGTGGGTGGGTCTTGAGACAATTGTCTTTGCTCTTTCGTAGTCTTGAGCCTTCAAATTGGAATTCTGAGCCAGGTTAAACAGCTAATAGAATTATGCTGTGTGCTCTTTCATGGGTAGAAGCCCACCTGCTCCAATGGGTGATAATATGACACAAAATATGGACACATTAGAATAGACGACGTGGGTTTTGGAACTGTGCACGATTTCCATGGAACAAGATTCATACAGCGTAGTGAGACTTAACGTGTCTTCTCGTAAAACTAAAAAAAAAAAAAAAAATTGGAGTTTTTTCCCCTGGCAAATACTGGAGGCCTCAAAATAGGTCAGAATGGCACCCACACACAAGAGTACTTTTTGAGTAAAAAGATTTTTTTTAAAGGAGGGAGGGTGGAGTACTGGGGACTGTGTGTCTGCCACCCTGCCCTATTGTCTAAGAAACAATTTAAGCTGCTGGGATTTTGTATACTCAACTATATATTGTCATGAGCAGCACAATCGAGTTGTGGCAAAATTATTTTTGTGCTCATTCTTAACGTATGGGCTTCTTTGGCCGCTTCGGGCATGAAAGGGTAGACCAGAGGGTCCCTGGGTCTAGTGCAGCATGGCTGCTGTGATTTTCATGAGAGTAGGTGCAGTTCACTCCGGGTAGGACTGGGCAGTCTGTGTCACACATGGAAATCTGGTGAGAAGTAAACACAACTTGGTTGAACCGGACCTACTTCCAAGTAAATATGTATTGCAAGCTTAGGGTCACTGCATATCATATGGCAAAGAGAATTAAATAAGGTCCCATTATGATGCCAAAACCTTCTTTTGGCATTTTTCATCTATCAGTTTGATTCCTGAACTTTTGAGAATTAATTTTCAGGCCCTTCACCAACCTGGTGAGTTTTCCCTGAACGTGAACCAGTTTGTTAATGTGCTTCTTAAACAATGATGCCTCTAGAGCTGGACACAGTATTCCAGTTGGAAGCTGGTCAGTACAGAACAGAACTAAACTGTTTTCAAGGTGGGCACAATCTAAGGTTACACTGTTTTTTAAAAGTGGCAGCACTGAGTGCACTAAGGTACACAGGCTCTTTTTACATGTACGGGTGCCCAGCCATTTCTTTCCCACCCCATACTTGTGCCTTGGATATCTTTATTTCTAACCTAATGTAGGACTTTGCAATTGTCCGTGAATTTCTTCTAATTTACCTTGGATCATGAGTTCCAGCCTAGATCATTTTCAGTTTTGGCTTCCAGGTGTGTGTCATTTTCATATTTGGTAACATCCATATGATTATGTAGTTACTGATGTTGATAAGGAAAAGATCTCCTGTATGGAGAATTAGTGCAGGGAAATCGCCCCAGAGAGAGACCACAGCTCAATACAAGGATATTTGCAAGCAGCATCTGAAGGCCTTAGGAATGCACCTCAACAGATAGGAAACCTTAATATCTGAGCGTTCAACTTGGAGGCAAGCGGTGCATCATGGCCTCTCCCATTTTGAAGAGACACTTGTCCAGCAGGCCGAGGCAAAGAGGCAGTCCCAAAAGCAGCCAAATCAGGGAGCTGGACAGGGGACATATTATATTTGTCTTCAGTGCAGAATGGATTGTCACTCTTAAATTGGCCTTCTCTGCCCCACTAGACACTGTTCCAAGTCCTCTCTATTTTGATTGATTGATTGATTGATTGACTGAATTTATACCCCGCCTATCTAGTAATTTTGCCCACTCTAGGCGGCTTACAACATAAAAACATAACAAGTTTAAGAGACATTTATAACAATTAATTAATTAGATGATTCTGCAAGATGGGAAAAATACAAAATAAATCAAATAAAGAGAAAAAGGAAGGAGAGAGGTCAGGAATTAACTGGAGGGGAAGGCCTGCCTGTACATCCACGTTTTTAATTGGTTTTTAAAACTATCCAGCGAGAGTGCAGCGTGAATCTCTGGAGGCAGGTTATTCTAGAGGCGAGGAGCCACCGCCGAGAAGGCCCGGTTCCTTGGTTTTTCCTTCCGGGCCTCCCTCAGCGTCAGGCTCCTCAGCCTCACTTCCTGACTTGCATGTGTGAGACGGATAGAACTAGGTGGGAGTAAGCATTCCGCCAAGTATCGAGGTCCTAATCCGTTTAGGGCTTTATACGTAAGCACCAGAACTTTAAAGTCAATGCGGAACCGAATGGGCAATGCAGTGCGGCCAAAATAGGAGAAATATGATTGAATTTTCTCACTCCGCTAAGGAGTCTGGCCGCCGCATTCTGCACCACTTGGAGTTTCTGCATCATCTTCAAAGGTAGCCCCACGTAGAGCGTGTTACAGTTAAGGTAGCCCCACGTAGAGCGCATTACAGTGGTCTAATCTCGAGATTACGAGCACATGTGCCCTCACATCGAGATAGGGCTGCAGCCGGGCTATCCGCCAAAGGTGGATTCAGAGCACGTTACTCTAGACTCTGAAGGATGCCTAATCTAATAAGGTGTTGATATCACAGTTGCACTATGGACAATTTTATTATAATGCATAAGTTACTGATAGTGTTACCACAGTTGCACAGTGGACAGTTCATCATATCAACACACAGGTAGAATAATTATTCTGTACTCACCACAAT